GGGGAACAGAGAGAAGTACCATAAATCAGTACACACCATTGTCTTAACACTTGGCAAAGAGCTGTGTTAGCATTGTACCTATCTACCTACCCACTGCCACTGAGTCAGATCCAACTCAGCAAGCCTATAGGACAGAGCAGAACTTGCTGGTTTGGTGTCTGAGGCTGTAAATCTGGGGAGCAGCCAGCTGTCAGCCTCGTCTTTTGCTGAGGAGTGACTTATGTTAGCAGCCCAGTGCATAACCAAGTACTCTACCAGAGCTCCTTGTTAAACATTGTAGTTAGTAAGAAATGTAGTTTATAATCTCTGCCTTTCGTATTGACAGAATGCAATGATACACTTAGAATCCATTGCCAAAAGCTCCTCAGCAATTAGCAGAATTAATGGAAAAAAGATTGAGTTGCTAGGGAACTTTAATGTTAGTATTCTATTTAACTAGAATTGCTTGATTTTAGGCAAACTGCATCATTTTGAAGGGAATTGGTTCCTTTAGATTATATCACCAGAGCTATGTAGAAAGAGGATCATTTTATTTTCTCTTATATCTGTCCTAAAATCATGTAACTAACAAAAGTTTATGACAGTAGGAACAACAGCAACATAACTTATGAATAGCGCATTGCATCTGTATTCTATGAATAGATAATGATTCCTTTTTTATTGAGATAAAATTAATATAGTTTAAAATTCACTGTTTTAGTCTATACAGTTGATCCTGTTTTTAGTATGTGCTTAAAGTTGGAATCATTATCACTGGTTAATTCTAAATAGTTTTTAATCACCCCTCCCCCAAAAAACCTGTGCTTATTAGCAGACATGACCCATTCTCCCCTGAAGTTCTTCTTTCCCTCCTCTCCTGGTAACCAGTAATCAACTGTCTGTCTCTGGATTCTCCTTTCTGGACATTTTGTATGAATTGAATCGTGTAGCATGTGGTTTTTGTGTCTGGCCTCTTTTCACCCAGCATACTGTTTTCAGGTTTATCAGCAGTGTAGCATATATTAATACTTCACCTCTTTTTGTTGCCAAATAATAATTTGTCTGTTCTTTGCTTGTTTTTCCGTGGGTAGATGTTTAGTTGTTTTCCACCTAGGATCCTATTGTTCTATATAATGTGGCTATAAGCATTCATTTATAAGTTTGTATAGATCTGCTTTTATTTCCCTTGTTTATAAACCTAGGGATTAAATTTCTGGGTTGTATGGTAACTCCTTAACGATTGAAGGAATTTATTTCCTTTTGTTATTGTTGTTGTTGTTAACTGCTGGCAATCAGTTCCAATTTGTAGTGACCCTGTGTGCAACAGAATGAAACACTACTCGGTCTGCTCGTTATCCTCACAATTCTTATGTTTGAGTCCATTGTTGCAGC